GACGCTGAAGCCAGCAAGGCAACTGCAAACTTTTATAGTTCAGTACAGACTGAAGGGGAATAAGTGAGTAATAAATGGGGCAGTGGGCGGGGTGGGGGCGTGAATCAGGGGATTACCATCTTTTTCTAGTCGTTTACTAAAATTCGATAAACTGCAAGACCAAACGCATTACTAAATCAGTCCCGCCTTTCGAAATAAAGTATAGTTGTTTTAGAAAAAACTGATGCTCGTGGGTGAGCAAAAATTAGCTCATTGGCTTTGATACATCAAAAAAATACTAGATTAGCCTTGGCTAATTTTGAGGCGATCATGTGAAATTTTCATTTTGCGCGTGACTGTAATAGTATGACGTTAACATAACTTGTGTACTCTGTAACTGTGACGATCGCGAATTTCCGTTACCCTTCTCGGGGAGTATAGCCAGTTTGATTGGCTACCGATATATGCCGAAAGGCTTCCTTCCTAGTACCGTAAACTCTGCATATTTCTGAGCATAAGACAAAACGTTATTAAATTCAACTCGAACCATCTTATAGCCCCGTCTTGAATAGAAGCTGTTTTTTTACGTTTGTGCGTTTAACATATTTGCAACACAATCGTAATTCATTTTCATTTCTTTGCATGGACTTTCACATAAACCAAAGCAACGTATCAGTTCTTGAACGTTTTCAAAATGAAAAACGCTCGTAGTAACAAATTGCGCTAACGCATATTAGTAAAAGCTCTTTAAAATTAACAATTTCCTTTTTAAGAGTTAAAATAGTACTATCATAATAAGCATTACCCTTACAATTCACAAGAATCATCTCAGAGAAAACGCCTAATGCTTAAGTTTGAAATACAACAGTCGGACATTTTGCAGAAAATGTTCACATTTTAAAAGTCTTACAGCGAACATCCGCATCACATCGCTGAACGGAACTGCTTTTTCGGCCATTGGAAACAGAAATGGATGTCAAACAAAACGGATAAATTTACCATTTGTACTCTGTTCTCTGTGTATATGGACTCAAAAGTGCTTGAGATAGACTTGTTTGTTACTTGACAAGTGGTATCGACCTGAAATGTTTTTGTTTGGTGTGATTTTCGCGAATTAGTGCCCCAAAAACTGAAGAACATACAACTCTTGTTTCTTAGACTTCACGGATCCGTCTACTGCTCATGAATGAAATGTGAAGAAGGTCTTTAGATTTCATTAGAGACAAGAGACTTTGCTTCGTTCTGGACCATAGTGTACTATGAGCGGCCGACCCAGAACTACTTCATTCGCTGAAGGTGGAAAATCAGGCCAAAACGCACCATTTGGAGGGATGAGAACCATCAGTAAGTGCTGACTTTTTATGTCAGCCATGCTGTTGAGACATCCAAAATGGCGGTTTGACAATGATAAATCTTATGAAAATTTTGTTTTCCCTTTTGTCGAAGATGAATGGCACCATCTCTTGATTGTGGGTGGGGTGCTATACATAGCATTGTGTTAATCGAATTGTGCGTTGCATGTAAAGGATAAAGGTTGTTCCGAGAAACTCCAATTTAGCCTACGACTCCAGCCCAGTCCAAGGGACAGGGATAGCTCAGATAGCCCTAGCCAGTAGATCTCTAGCAGTCGTAGTACTGCCAGGTGTAGTGTTGTAGTACATATACAGTGAGACTTATCAAACTTAATCCAGCCTATCTCAACATCACTAGGCTACACATAAATGATTTTTGTGTTATATATAAGTTAAGTCACAAAATTAGACTCGCTGTTTTCTGCTTGAATCTAAAGCTGTACTGTAGTGTTGATCGAGATAGACCTGTCAATTGTTGGGACAGCAGGAATTCAAGAAGAGAAGGGGTGTGTTAAAGTAAAGAAAGGTGTAAATCTAAATTAGATATCTAGATCTAGATCTTATTTAGGTTAGGGGGTACCGGGAATGGTGTTTGGTGTCTCATTGAACGGGGTGAGAATACAGTCGATCCTGCCTTAACAGAAACCTGTATAAAACGGAAACCTTTCTTAACAGAATCTTCCCGCTCCCCTCTTGATATATTCCTCTTTAATTACCTGTATAATTATAAAATGGAGACCTGTCCAACACGGAAACGGAAAGAAAAATCCGGTCCCTTCCTAGCTAGGGTTTCACCTGTCTAAAATGGAAAATCCTTTGCCCGCTCAGCCCTGATTTGAAACAAAACTCGTCAGTTTGGTTCCGCCGGCTCTAAACTTAACACCATGGCCGTGCTGCTGGGCGAGGAAGGGGAGTAAGGGTGCAATTTGAGGGTAGATGTTACTCCATCATGTGAGCGAAGCAGATGGTCAGCAGGGTAGTGTGGGTGTGAAATCTCACGACTGCCCGTGAGAGTGCTCGAGAACCAGAAGCCAGAGGTGTGAAATTAGATTGACCAATGCCTGTCGCCCTGATCGTACAGCCAGCAGAGAAAAGAGTTCCTGGAATCGTTACATGATGGCAGTGAGGGGTGGCATTCGTTGCTGTGCTTGTTACACCGATGGCTGGGGTTACAGGTGGAAGCAAAGGAGATGTTCAAACGTTTCTGTTTTTAATAGGTCAAACAGTGGTCCTATGAAAGGCAAGCACTGATGGTAATTGGATAAAAGTAAGATTGATACTTGTCATTATCAGACAGGATAGCAATTGAGAGGTGTGAAGATTTGACCACCGCTTGCCGATAGGACAAGCGATCCTTGATCCCACCGGCTAGAAGACGGAAAATGTCTTCTAAGACATAATTTTTTTCTTGCTCCCTTGCGATTCCGTCTTACACAGGTTCGACTGTACTCCCATATATTATTCTCACCCTGTTTTTTTCGTTTCTGCCTTTTTTATTTCCTTTAGGTTTTGAGTTATGGGATGTTGGGAATCAACACTGATCATCTGTTTAAGATCTAGATCTAGGTCTAGATCTAGAAAATCTAGATTAGATCTAACTCTCAAAAAAATCCTTGAAAAATTTTTTAACGCCCAAGCAGTATCCCAAACCTTTTTCAGTCTCAAAGCCTTGTGCACAGCTGTCACTGGTTCAACGGAAATCACATTAACTTAAAAACTGACGTCTTCATCTGAAATTTTTTCCTCACTGGTTTCAGCAAAGTCAGCCTCTAAATCACTCATTTTGCCGTAATTTTGGTTGAAAATGAAAGAACAACAACACTACTTCAATGCGATAGGATAGTGTTGTATTCTGAGACCGGGAGAGAGTAAAATGAATCTGGGTGAGAATAACACCAGCCTTCAGTGAAACTAAAGATTCTCTTTTTTCTACTTCCACTATAATAATAGATCTACTTGTCATTCAAACTAAAAATTGACGGGGTCTGTATTTAGGCTAGATGTTTTCGCACGCAGACATAGCCATAGGCTAGAGTATAGATCTAGATCTAGAGTTTTGTAAACTTATTTACAGTTTTGGCTTTGGTAGATTATTTTACTCAAGGCACGAGGAAAGAAGTTTTTTGTTTAGGCTAGGTAACCCCTAGCCCCATGGGATGGACACTGTAAAAGGAAAGTAGGTTATCACTCAGATTGATCCTCTCAGGAAGCGGGAAGGGGTCAGAGGTTAAGGTTTAAAGTGATACATCAGTGTTAGTCATTATATGTGTCACAATGCGGTGGAATCAGGCTTTCGTCAGTTTTGAGCATATATGGAGTTGTTATTAATGTCATCTTTAAAAGGTTGTTCTCATTTGCTTTGCGTTCGATTTTAAAAAATGTCCATTCATCTTGAATAGAAAAGTCGAGATATTTGCGATTGAAGGAGGTGGGGTCGCCTGGTTTCATAATTAAAATGGCCGCAAAAAGTTTGGTGACTTCCATAGCTTTAGAGTCCTTGGAAACTGCATATTCACATTCTTTGTGCCTTTATTCAACATTTTCCCTTAAAATCCACACATAAAAGTGTTTTTGAATGGACATACAAGGTGTTGAGACAAAAAACAAAAGTTTGAAAAATGTTTCCAAACTGGCAGAAAAATGCCAATTTCTCGGATTTCATTTTATTTTGACGAGCGCCTGATTTCACCACTCTACTTCACATATAACAATAGTCATAATTGTTCAAGGAAGTCCTGAAGTTCTTACTTAATGTGGCTAATAAATAAGTAGGCTAAGCTAAGGCATCGGGTAACGACAAAACTGTCACAAATTCTGAAATACAAGAAATCTCTTGAAAAGAAGCTTTTACTTTTAGTTTAGTCTACTGGTTCTATGCGCAGGTTTTGATATCTCAGGACTTTTTTGATGAGCAGAGTAAATCTTGTGACATTCTTAGCAAAGCCTATCATGTCGGTTTGTTTACTCTTGAGCCTACAGTCTGCAGAGCCATGCACCTGAGCTGGTTGGGGTGCGTTACTTCATTTACACCATGACGCATTGAGTTGAACGTGCATTTTCTGTGCCGGACAGTAAGGCAGCACCTTAGACAGCGAAATTTATAACTTTTTAAATTAAAATTGCTAAGAATTGAGTGAGATACCCTATAATGTCTTCTTTTTAATAAGGAATGCTAACACACAAAAAATGCGGGATAACTTTTTAAAGTATTTCCAAAGTAAGGGGATCCCTATAATGCTAGTTTGAGCTGATAAGAGTTTATTTCTGTTCCTTGGAATTTAATACTTATGACTGGATGGTCCTTTTGATTTGAAGTAGTGTCCAATGAGCTCTCAAATTTTAGTCTCAGCAAATTACTGAGACACTGATTGTATTTTAAAATTGTCCGTCAAGATTGTCTCAAGATGGTTCTCATTGTTCAAAGCGTCTTGTTTGTGCTTTCTAAAATTGTGTGTTGCTTCCCTATAATGTGTTGGTTCATTCATATTTTTTTTGTCCCTTGCTTCCTTTCTTCAATTTTGCCTCAGTTTCCCTTTTTTGAAAGAAAGAAATTAAAGCGAGGGGACTTTCTAATTAGTACCTACCTACCTCTAACAAGCCTTTTATTATGTTTTCTTTTGGAGTGTCATCAATATGGGTTTTTTTATAAATGTAATAACAGATCTGAAATTATTGTCTGGTACTTTTGCTGCTACCGGCGCACACGACTTAACCTGTGGATTGCTTTGTGAGGCAGCTGAATATTGTCTGTCGTCCTGTAGTAAACACATAGTATAGTGTGGAGTTTGTTGTTTCTGTTAGCCTCTGTCCCTCGTCTTGTCCATGTCTTGCACTGGGTGTGCAGGTGTGTTGTCAGGTGCATTATTCCCAAAATGTTTTATGTTCAGTGATGCTCTCATGGTACTTTATACTCATCATACATACACAGATTCTAAAATTGATTACAGTAAAGACATTTCGTTAAATAGATCATCTCTCAGTATACTTTTCACTTAAATGTGACAGGTAGTGTTCAGCATGTTGTGACAGACTTTCTTGCAGTTTTCATGTTTTGGTCAGGTATTGACCTGTTTTGCTCGATGTTAGTTTCAGGTCTTTTTATTACACTTCGGTCGGCGAGTTTTGTTCAGTTTCGGTCATTTTCATTTAGCTTTATTGCCTTTATTGAGGGATTTGTTCCTGCTTTACCGTTTCTTTTATATTTCTCAGTAATTTTATCAATTTGGTTTTTGTTTCAATGTGGGTTGTTTTGTTGGGGGTTTTTTCACTTTTTCAGACCTGCCAACCTTTTCGATTTTATCTGGAAATTCCCAATTTTATCGGGAAATTCCTAAATTTAGACCGTCTTCCCTCGAGGTCCTGGTAATGACATGATTTCCCTGATTAAATGAGTCCAAGAGAAAAAATGATTTTCTTTTCTAAATTATCGAAGTCTGCAAAGAAGGAATGAGGAAAGAAAGCGTTTGTTTTTTACAGTGCAACGTTGACATTAGTTTCTTCTTTTTTTTTTTCAAGTTGTGGAGTCTTTCTTCTTTGTCCTTCTTGATCAGGACAAATTGTGGCGACGAACAGTTTATCTTTTTGGCTGTATAGCCAAATGGTACACGTATCATAGCTTTAACCTTTGTTTTAGATGTTTGGTGGGATTTTGCAGTGTCAGTCTGGGAATAAGTTAACGTTTGAGGACATTCGTCTTGCATTTTTCCCTTTTTGCCTTTGAAAAGGAGTAATTTTCCCAATTTCAATCTTATCAAGTTGGCAGGTCTACTATTTTCTACTTTTTGAATATATGTTGAGCTATTTTCTGGTCATAATGTACCTATGAGTCCTTCATGTTTGTTCCCCTGGTGTGTGTTTGTTTGGTATTTCCTATTTCTTGTTCGTTTCGCCGTTTCATTGAGAAGTGATTGATTTAATGTTAATATACAAAACAGCATCAGCTATGCTCCCCTGAGTCTGATTTGGTTCAGCAGCTTTAGTTTCTCTGGCGTAGAAGTATAATCTTAATTTCCAATACTTTCTTTGTAGTTAGATCCCATGGTCACTTTCCAGATTTTTAATGGAGTTTGTTATTTGAACTGACTTGTTGTAACATGTTTCAATGTGAAATCAAAAAGACTTTCGCTGTTCTGTTTTGAGGATTATTATTATCATTTTTTGCTCTGCACTCCGCATTCAATGCAGGCTCAGCATATAAATTCACTTCCAAAGTTGTTTTGATGATGCCGCCCGCCCCTGGTCATATTCACTTTTTGAAATTTAAGATCTTCTATCAAGGGTTTAATTTATTGTGTGCAGTCTGTCAGTGTTGTAACTTATTGTGTATTCTAAGTAGCTATTGTACTCGTTAGATTACTGAATGTTTAAAAATTAAGTTTAATAATTCTTGTCCTTTCAGTTTCAAAAGTGTTTACGATTCAAGTGTAAATCATCCATCTCAGACAGAGAATTTTGTTTTGAAAATTGTAGGGTGGCTCTTTAAATGATTTTTGAATTTTCATGATATAATTTGTTTCCTTTTTATTGTCATTTTAAAAATAATTATGAAGACTGGGAGATATCAGTAAGCAGTTCTGTGATGAGTGTACTTGATAAAAGCAATCACTTCCGTTATATGTCTCTTGTTAATTTATATTTTCTCAAGCCAAGTCAGAACTCATCTACCTTTTCCTTGTCTGCGTCTCCATTTTGGATTGATCTGAAGCAACACCTCCCCCCCCCCCCCCCCCTCCTACCGGACCCTAACTCTTGCCCTGTGTGATCCTCTATTGTACCTTTGCCTCTTAATGTGACGTATTTTTTAACAGAATGCTTTCGTTGTCAGTGCCCCCTGTAGGTTTGATAATTGAAGTTGTCTTGTTTTGTCAGCGGATGAAGGAATAGGTCTTATGCTTTATGTATGTGTGTCCAATGGAGTGTGTGTGTCGGATATTATTGGATATATTTGTGCATCTCCCTTCTGTGTTCGTGGCAAGATTTCTGTACTATTTTGTTCACAATGGCTTTGTCTTTAGTCCTTACTGTTTATTGACGATGGTACGGAATGGATTATAAAACTGTAAATCATCACTGTATTATAGTAAAGTTGGAATTATGGGGCCGGTAACTGTGCCAGAGTCTGTCAGTACTCTCATTAAATCTTAATGGTTTCCCCTTTTTTTGTGGATTTTTATGAGTGCCTTCAGCACGGATCATCATCATCACTAAATTGAGTCGTTCGGGCGTAAACAACTACTTTTAAAAAAGTAAAGACACCTCAGCCTTGAACCAACATACAGACACTTGAGACGTGTGTCTGAATGGTTTTGTCAGTACTCTGCGTTGTATTGGAGGAATTCGAGTAGAGTCTGCTCCTCCCGCTCCTCTTTTGTGTTGCTATCCTCTCTCTGGTCTTGAGGAGTAGGCCTCTTTGCTGTTTGTTGCGCTGATTCTTTTATGGAAGCTCTGTGGACTGAGGCGATCATATGAGGCCACTTGGAGACACAACGACAATACGTTACACTTTCGTGCACTCGTTTTTGATGTTACATTGTGACATTCATTAGGTTGTAATGTCCATGTTATAGTGATGAGTTTTGCTTTTTACGTGGGTTTTTGTGATTTGAATTTAAAAGTAGATTTCATTTGCTACTCGATGCATTGAAGTTCCATTATTTTATTCCCTTCACTTTAAACCCTTTCTCTCTTTCTCCTTCTGACTCTTCCTCCCTCACTCCCTCCCTCCCTCTGCGGGAGGTTTTAGGGCACCCCTGGTAGGTTCTACTTCTTTACTGTCCGTTTCTGTCTGTCTCACTTTTTCCCAGCACTAAATGACCATAGTTATGATTACTGTGTCGATATGCCTCTCTTTTCTCAAACAAACAATCTCCCCTCCCTCCTCTTTCTCTCTCTCTCTCTCTCTCTCTCTCTCTCTCTCTCTCTCTCTCTCTCTCTCTATCTCTCTCTTTGTCTTTCCCCCTCTCCCTCTCACTCTCTCTCTCAAACATGGAAAGAATTCCTAAAGTTAGTTAATGACATTTAAAAAACTACTGTTGTGCAATTATTGTTTTTTTTTCAATTGTTAAAGTATTACTTTATTTTAACTTTCTACTGGACGTTGTGACAAGTAAAGATGCTGAAATAAGGCAGCTTTGCTCGCTTTTTCTTCTTTTCTTCCAAGCCAAATCTACACAAAATAGCAGTTGAGAGTCAAGCCAGTGTCATGTCAAAGTCTAGTAGGTCAACTTTTCCCAACCTTTTTATTCTATGACAAACCGTTGTATGTACACTCGTTCTCCTCTGCGTTCATTTACTAATTTGTGGGTAGTTTTTGAGTAGTCGAATGTTGACGCTTTTTGTTTTGTATTTTGTTTTATATTTTTTACCCTAAAGTTTTGTTGGTGTAAAAAGCTTTGTTTCAATTTTTGTCTTTGTTCCTAGTTTTTAATTTCACTTTTTATAATGTACCCATTAACATTTTTGTTTACTCCAACTTTTTATCAAATCTAAAACCAGCTAATCAGACTAGCTTCTTAATCAGACTAGCTTCTTAATCAGACTAGCTTCTTGTCAAGACTTAAGCAAGCTAATCTGACTAATAAGATAATCATATGTGCTTATTTTTTCCCTCTAGTAAATGATGATATGTTTTTAAAATGTACTGCTGTTCAAGTAAAGTAAAGTAAAGGTAAAGACAGAACACTGAAATTGTATTTTTTTTAAATCTAGAATTTATTTTGATATGTATTAAAATAAACCTGGAATACCTAATCAGTATATTATAATTATTTTCGGTAATTGACAAAAATACTGGCAATTATTAGTGCTATTATTGATCCTGTGTAGTTCAGCAAAGATTGGTTTGCTGACTTTTTTCTTTTGGCAAGACAAATCCCTCTAAGACGAGATATATACATAGAGTATTACTGCTGCGATATAGTTACAATTGTCTTAGATATTTGTCCTGGCTGGTCATGCTGAAGGAATAATGGCATGGTTTATTAAGTTTAAGGATAGATAAGGAACCTCTCAGCAAACATATTCCCGCCCTCAACTTTATAGGCTCTTTTTTTTTTCTACACGAATGTGAAATAATAAATAATTAAATGGCCCCTAACTGTTCTCTTCCGATTCTTCACCCAGGCAAAGATGGAAACAAGGTCACCACTGTGTTTGCCACGGCAGGTCAAGGGCCCGACCGAGCACAGGAGGTCAGCTACACAGATGCCAAGGTCATCGGCAACGGCTCGTTTGGCGTGGTCTACCAGGCCAAGCTGACCGAGTCGGGTGAACTAGTCGCCATCAAGAAAGTCCTACAAGACAAGCGGTTCAAGGTGAACCTCTGATTTTTTCCTCGTCTGGGTCTCTACTCTTCCAGGGACTTTTTTTTGTGTTGCTGTTTGTCTGTTATCAGTACTCATAGAGTAGCAGAGTGTGGGTGGTTGGCAGGTGGTTTGGTGTGGTTTGCTCCTTTTTTTCCCATCAAAACATCTATCGTCCTTATCTCTCCTCCTTTTTTGTGTTTGTTACTCCCTTGTAATCTCTAGTCTTCGGCACTTATATATATGCCCTTACTGTCTTGCAAGTGCCGCTCACTTACTAAAACAAGAGTGGAGTGGGTCATGGGTTTCTTTTTTTTCAAAGAGGGGGAGTGCTTGGGGAGAGTGGATCACTGGTGATGTGTGAATGTTCTCTGGATATTTGAAGTTTTCAAGTAGAAAAGAAAATTGTGGGGGTGTTTTAGGCTGGGTGCTGCTTATAAGTTCAGGGGCATGGATGGTGGGTGCAAAATTATTACCAGCTGAGAATGGCTCTTGGGGCCATCTTTCCTTGTTTTAACCCTTCCAGCCACAGACATTTTTCTGCACTCCCTGACCTCAGTCCCAGGTAAATGCAGCAGGCAGCGTACCTCTGTCCCAGCCAATACTACAGTATTTCAGGCCACCAAAGTTGCCTTATTTCCTTAGCTTGAGAGTCCGTGGAAACTAAAAGGAAGTAAAATTTATGATAAAAAAAAAAAAATAGAAGCAACCTCTCTAAATCGAAAACCTTGCAAGACTGAAAAAAATCTCTGTTGTGCAGATTTTGATTTAAGCAGGCTCCACTGTATATTAATGAGAGGACTGCTGCAGCTGCAGATTTGTAATCAGACACGTTTTTCAAGTACAATGAAAGATTGTAGGGAAATCAGTGGTTTTGGTTGGGGGTTTTTTTTTGTCTCCAAAATGCTAAAACTTGGATTTGTGTATGTTTTTGGCTCGTATAATTTGTTTGTTGTGTAGTCAACACATAACTCATTGTAGACTCAGCTTTATTTTGTTCAGTAAAAGTTTAAGTGGGGGTTGTTGGGTGTTTTTAGGGATGCACACATAATAATATTATATCACTTCCTTGTACTGATTCTTGTGAACTCATGTTTACACCGTGGGTGGTTGGAGGGCGCCAATTCTGCCTACTCTCGTACGTATTCGTGGTTGGTGGGTGCTCTGGTGTGGTTTGCTCCTTCTTTCCTATCAAACATCTATCGTCCTTATCTCCCCTTTCTTCTTTTTTATGTTTGTTACTCTCTTGTAACACCTCTAATCTTCTGGCGCTCTTATGACCTTATGCTGTTACGAGCGCAGTAAAACCTCTACTATAACAACATATCGAATACCCAGCTAGTTTTTTTTTTTTTTCTTTGGGGAGAAAAAAAGGAAAGGGCCTCTCCCCGGGGTGCAAATTTTTTTTATTTTTTTTGGGGGGGGGGGGGGGGGGGGGGGGGTCAATCCAGTGGCCTAATAAATTCCTGATGTGAGTTGTGCTGACAAAATCAAAATGAGTTACTTCTTGCAATCCACAAATTACAAATGGAAATATTGGCCAAAAATCAACATTAGGGTCAAATTTGTAGATTTTCTATTAATGCCATATATATATATATTCTTTTACCAGTCTTCTATTATTTCACACTTATAAATTGTAAAAATTTAACCAATAAGTGTGATGTGTCTTATTTCCTTAAGGCGTGAATCCGAAAAGTAGGTAATTTTGTCAGCATGCTTCATAAATGAGAAATTATGTTAACCACCAGATTAGGAAGGAGACGGGGTTTACTGGTCTTTCCCCCCCCCCCCCCCCCCCCCCCATCAGTTGTGACAAAGGAAGGCTGGTGATAAGAGCGGTGGTTGAGGAGGTCAAGTGGAGACCTCTAGACAGCAGTGGGGAAGAATCAAGAATCAGCCTGACTTCTACTGCCATGCTCATTAACAATTTGTTGTTGTGGAGGGGGGGGGGGGGGGACGAACGAGTGACTGAAACTTTTATCGTACTCAACCGTTGAAGTGGGGTAATTTTTATCCGATACTGCAATAAAACATGCAGTTATACTTACTTCTAAGTGGTTCATCCCATGTCTATAAAAAGATAGAATTTGGAAAGGTCATTTTTCTTTATTTACTGCAATAAAACATGCATTTGTACTAACTAAAGTCTATGTGTTAATGGATTTATCCCATGTCTGTAGATAAAATGATCAAATTTTCTCATCATTATTTAAAAAGAGTTTATGATGGTTTTGTGTGCAGAAATTTTCCTGATTATTTATTGTGATTGTTCACACTTCTTGTTGTTGGGTGGCTGTTGCCTCTGTTGGGCTTATGATGGGTTGTGAAGGCAGGCTGCCCTGGTAGTGAGTAAAGTGGGTCTGGCATGTCAAATGATGAATTTCCTTTTATGTTACAGAATCCACAACATAGATCTCCCTTGAGATCTGGCACTCTGTCAGTGGCTTCTAACTCAGTAGTTGAAATCAGTTATGAATCTGTCTGTCTTTTACCACAATCTTTTGTACTTGAAAATTGATGGATTTTTAAAATGTTTGTTTAGTTTAGGAAATTTCCTCCTTTTCCCTGTTCTTTTCTCATTCATGTTCTTCATGCTCCTTTTGTTCGCTTTTTCACCACTCATAGTTGGCTGGCAACCTCTCCTGTGAGTGTGTGTTCTGCTTCTTCTACTTCCTTTCTGTGATGCTGTCATAGTCGTAGCGTCGCCCTAATGTGTTCCTGCTATAACAGTTCCTTTCACCACCTGCCAAGTGCATTTTTGGCGGGTGCTCTGGTGTGGTATGCTCCTTCTTTCCTATCAATCATCTGTCATTCTTACGTCTCCTCCTTTTTCTTTCTTTGTATGTCTTTCTCTAGTAATATCAATAATCTTTGACATGCATATAACGTATTTGTGTGGGTGGTTGGCGGGTGCTCTGATGTCGTTTGCTCCTTCTTTCCTATCAAACATCTATCGTCCTTATCTCCCCACCTTCTTTTTTGTGTTTGTTACTCTCTTGTAACACCTCTAATCTTCTGGCGCTCAAATGACCTTATGCAGTTGGGAGTGCCGTAACACTCTTACTAAAACTAAAACGAACCTATTTGTTTGGCAAGAGCCATAAAACTCTTACTGAACTAAAATTGTCCTGCTTACAGGCTGTGCTTACAGGCTGTGCTTACAGGCTGTGCTTACAGGCTGTGCTTACAGGCTGTGCAGCGTCACTTGACAGTCAATGCTTATTTCCATTAAAATTGTTTTGTTTGATGTGTTTCAGAACCGGGAATTACAAATCATGCGTAAGCTGGAACACCAAAATATAGTCAAACTCAAGTACTTCTTTTACTCCTCGGGGGAGAAGGTGAGTAAGAACATGTCACCGTTGTGGAACTTGTGAGGGTTGGCTCAACTCATTGGCTCCCTCTAAAAGAAAGAATAATATTTAAAATCTGCGTCATGTGTTTCAAATGTGTAAATAAAACTGCTCCTTTTTATCTACAAGAACTTATCAGTATATATAAACCAGGGAGAAACCTAAGATCATCAAACGATAACACCCTACTTATGACACCTGTAAAATCATACAAATCATATGTAGAGAGATCTTTCTCATATCTTGGTCCATTTATGGGGAACAGATCACCCATGAAACTAAGACAAATAAAAACACTTGATAGCTTCAAAAGACATCTTAAACATTTTCTGTTCCTACAGGCCTATCCTTCATAAGCTTTTAACGTTATCTTTCATTATAGTTGTCCTGTTCCTATGTCTGGATGAAAATAGTCTGTGTGTGTGTGCATTAATGTATATTGCATGAGAAGAAAGAAAGTAGTAAGAAAGGTTTTTGAAAAATGGGTATTCCAATGTAAAGCGCATTGAGTTACTTTTTTTGGAAATGCGCCATATAAATGGTATATATTACTATTATTATTATTATTAACTCCCTGCTTGCAATACATTGATAAACAACAGGTTAAATGGTTACGGTATCTGTTTAGACTTACCACCTGACAGTTTAGCTATGAGAACGTGCGAGAGGTCAGATGAAGACAGAGGAAGGGGCAGGCCCGGGGAAAGATGGATTGAAGGGATCAGAGAAACATTAGATCAGACCCCCCCAAAAAAATACAGGTGGTACAACAAAGAAGAGAAAGGTGTTTGCTTCTCTCCTCAACACAGCAAGGTAACAGAGGCCAGGAAAGTAAAGTAAAGGTTAATTTTTTTTTTTCAATAGGGCATAGGTTGCTCCTCAATAAGTTTGACCTCTACATTTTCGTGCAGAGAATGCGCACCTTTTCTCTCTTTCTTTCTTTTTTGTGCTTGATACTCTTTTTGTAACACCTCTCATCTTTGAGGGCGTCGGTAGCCTAGTGGTTAAAATCTTGAGATTGCGAGTTCGGGGGTTCGAGCCTCAGCTCAGTCCGACGTTGTGTCCTTGGGAAAGGCACTTTACACGAACTTCCCACTTGGCTCGGTCCTATCGGAGACGGATGTTAGACTAGGAGGTCCCGCCCCTTAAATAACCTAATAGTGTTGATAGGGGCGTTAAACCTATACCATTTCACCATTTTCTCATCTTTTGCACTTATGTAACATTCTTGTTGTGCTGTAAGTGCTGTAAAACTCTTTACTAAAACTGAAACCATGCCTGCATTGGTCCACAGAAAGATGAAGTGTTTTTGAACCTGGTGTTAGAGTTTGTCCCAGAGACCGTGTACAGAGTAGCCAGACACTACAGTAAATCAAAACAGACCATACCTATACTATACATAAAGGTGAGTCACAGACCATACCTATACTATACATAAAGATGAGTCACAGACCATACCTATACTATACATAAAGGTGAGTCACAGACCATACCTATACTATACATAAAGGTGAGTCACAGACCATACCTATACTATACATAAAGGTGAGTCACAGACCATACCTATACTATACATAAAGGTGAGTCACAGACCATACCTATACTATACATAAAGGTGAGTCACAGACCATACCTATGTCACTCGGCCTGTCTTTTCCTTTTTTTCTCCTCTTCACTTCTTGTTTGACTGTGTTCATGTGTACACAAGGGGGTGGGTGGGTGGTTGGCGGGTGCTCTGGTGTGGTTTGCTTCTTCTTTCCTATCACACATCTATCATCCTTATTAAATCTCCCCTCCTTCTTTTTTGTGTTTGTTACTCTCTTGTAACACCTCTAATCTTCTGGCGCTCAAATGACCTTATGCAGTTGCGAGCCCCGAAAAACCCCTACTAAACTAAACCAGGTGGGGGGGGGGGGATGTGCATGGGGCACCAGGTAACGAGGATCGGTTGTGTGGAAAAATTGAGCATTGTCACTTGACAGAGGCATGAAGATGGCTTGTCCAATGGTGCCTCTTTGAGCTGGAAAATAAGGGTGCTGCGTTGAAGCAGTTAAGAGTTATTATGTGGTTGTATGAATTTGTTAATTTGGTGTTTGCTCCGTACATTGAAGGTGATGTCGGTTTTTGCTTTTGCTATTGTTAAAAACCTTTTAAAATCAGTAAAGAAAGTGGTGATTTCAAGTGATTGCACATGGGCATATAAGCATGTAATCCAATGAAAAATGTTCTTCCTCACCTTGCAATGGTTTAGCAGGCACTACTTGGGTCAGGGGGGGGGGGGTCAAGGTCAGAGTTTTCCTTGCTGATGTAAGGGTTAGTTTGTATCACGTGTTTGGGTTGAATGTTGTCAGAGGCACTGTAGCAGGTGGTTGGGGGGTGCTCTTGTGTCATTTGCTCCTTTGTTATCAAACGTCTGTTGTCTTATCTCTCCTATTTGGTGTATGTTACTCTCTTGTAAGACCTCTAATCATTGGCACTTACACCTTTTGTCCTCGTACGTCACGTTGCGTAGCGTCTGGTCCTTGCCGGCGCAAAATTTTCGTCTTGCATTCTTGCCTCATAAAAAGGACCAGGGAACACACACACACACACACCGTTCCCCTTATTTTTACCGATTTGCCGTTGGTCCCGATTTTTTTCACCAGATCCTGATTATTTTACTCTGAAGTCCTGATTTTTAGATTTCATAGAGTGGTAGATCTGATGTAGCGATCGAGGGTGTCGTAGCGAAACCTTGGTCAAAATATCAAGCCAAGGAGTGCGGTTAACACGCCGTGTTGTGTGTGTGTGTTTAGGATGTTCATCTTCAGTTCGACCCAATACAAGTTTTATGAATCTAATTTTGTTTTTGTTTTTTTATTTGTTTTTTCGACGGGCAGCTGGAGGAGGAGGAGGAGAGGGAAGAGGAGGAGGACTGGCCATGTACGGAATAAAAAATGTCAGTGGCTCGTAAAACTTCCATCTGACGGACTTTGAACTTCCTTGTCCATCTTGACTTTAAAAATTTGCCACTGTCTCTCTTCTGTGAATTGCCAGTCGCGCGAGGGTTTAGCCGGTCATGCACGTCTCATCGCGCACAAGGCACAGTGTCACTTTTTGCCCAATTCTGTTACTTTTAGTTAGCATGACTCAGCAGCCCGCAGGATAAAGTTGAAAAATTACAGCTTTCTATCATATGCGCAGATTCCATCTTTTCTGAGTATCTACACCAATGTTATGTCATTCATGTTCGAAAAGTAGGACAGTTTTTGTCATGCCTTTTTTGATTTTATATTGATTTTTTTTTCCTTTCACACTTGTCCAGAAAATTTTACAATTTAGCATTGCTGACTTCAGCGCGTCTAACGAAAAAACCAGACAAGTTACAATACCCATTCTTTTTTGTCTCAAGAGCAGAAATACGTGCTTTGGGTGCATTAAATGACAAGTAACATAAATACCAGGATACAACTAAAACTGTATGTTGACAAGTACCAAAAATTAAGTCAGGCCAGACAGCGGCGTCAGGGAGCCGACCCCAGTGACCGCGACGTGATTAGGTGCTCGGCAGGAAACCACCCACCCCCACTGCAACTAAAATTCCACTGCTTGTGCACTGTGAAGGAGACAATTTTGTCGCGTGCGACTGAAAATTTTGGCGCTATGTGGTCGTGCACAAGGACTAACACCTCGCAACTCATCACTAGTGACTGCTATATGACCTCATTGTTTTGCAAGTGCCATCGCTTATTAAAAGTACCCACCATCTTGACTAGCTGTATGGATAGAGGTTGGGTTTTGTTTTGTTTTTTGGGGTTTTTTGTTGTTGTTGTTGTTGTTGTTGTTGAAGTTAGCAGCTATGCTATTATTGTCCTGCGAGGTGTGTGTGGGTGGTTGAGGGTCCTTATCTCTCCTCCTTGTTCTGTATTTGTCTCTTGTAACACCTCTAATCTCCGGCAGCTATATGACCTACCTGTGTCGCAAGTGCCTCAAAAACTCTAAACCGTAAAGCAAAAACCAGTAAAACCCATTATGCCTTTTCTTCTCTCCCCTGTCAGCTGTACATGTACCAGCTGTTCCGCAGCCTGGCCTACATCCACTCGCAAGGCGTCTGCCACCGCGACATCAAGCCCCAGAACCTGCTGCTTGACCCGGACACTGGGGTGCTCAAACTCTGTGATTTTGGAAGGTCAGAGTTGATTCTGATAAACTTTATCCTCATTTTCTTTTCTTTTTTCTTTTTTTTTTTTTTTTTTTTTTTTTTTTTTTTACCTGTCAGTAGAATATGTGTGGTATGCTGTCATGGTGAAATCAGGCTCATTTAAAAATAATGAAATTCCCCCCCCCCCCCCCCCCAGCATTTTTCAGTCATAAGGAGACAAAGGGGCTCAAGAATTTGTTCTCTATCGTTGATTCCAACAGAATTCTTAATTTTATGAAGACCATTGGTCTTTTCCTCTTAAATGTAGTATCATTTTAAATGTGTAAATTTTTCAAATCCAGATGCAGTTGTGTGCGCCATAAAACTTTTGCCAATATAAAAGAGACATTCCACATAAACTGACTGTAGATGTAGAGTTCAAGAAAATGATGTGTGAAGTCAGTTTACTTTGAGCCTAACTTGAGCTCCCTCTTTGTTGATCTGGACTCCTGCCTGTGCTCCACATTTTGTCTGGTATGGCCTTGTGTGTGTGCCTTTTTTAAATCAGTTTAAAAAAATAATTTTTTTCCTTTCACTTTCATGAGACATTGTAGAATTATGTCTCTCTCTGTATTTTTGTTGGAAGGCGTCCGTTGTGTTTGAACTTCTCCTGTTGTTTTCTATTTCAGTGCAAAAGTATTAGTGAGAGGGGAGCCCAATGTATCCTACATCTGTTCCCGCTACTATCGAGCTCCCGAGTTAATATTTGGTGCCACAGATTACACTTGTCAAATAGGTGAGTCACCTCCTCCTCTCTGGTTTGGAGTGGGTGGTTGGCGGGTGCTCTGGTGTGGTTTGCTTCTTCTTTCCTATCAAACATCTATCGTCCTTATCTCCCTTTCATCTTTTTTATGTTTGTTACTCTCTTGTAAAACCTCTAATCTTCTGGCGCTCATGACATTTTGCAGTTGCGAGCGCCGTAAAACCTCTACTAAAGTAAACTAAAATCTGGTTCGGAAAAATGCCGAGTGCTGTTTAATTGTTATATATTCTAAATCTGTTGTTGCATTGTTGATGTGCTTAGCGCTTTCTTCCGTTTTGTACCGACTAGTCGTGTGGGTGGTTGGCGGCTGCTCTTGTGTGGTTTGCTTCTTCTTTCCTATCAAACATCTATCGTCCTTATCTCCCCTTCTTCTTTTTTATTTTTGCTACTCTCTTGTAACACCTCTAATCTTCTGGCGCTCACATGACTTTATGCAGTTGCGAGTGCCGTAAAACCTCTACTAAAACTAAAAAGTGAGACTTTATTGTGTTGCAAGTGCTGTAAAACTCACTAAAACATGCTAAAAACATAATTGTTCTTTTTTGTGTATGTTACTCTCTTGTAACACATCTATGCTTCGGCACTTATATGACCTTATTGTATGGCAAGTGCTGTGAAACTCTCAATAAGACATAGTAAAAGCCCAAAGCATTGTTGTTTTGTTAATGTGCTTAACACGCCTTCTCCCGTCTTGTACTGACTAGTCACGTGGTCACTTGTGTTGCAGACGTGTGGTCAGCCGGCTGCGTGCTGGCGGAGTTGCTGCTGGGTCAGCCCATCTTCCCGGGCGACAGCGGCGTGGACCAGCTGGTGGAGATCATCAAGGTCCTGGGCACGCCCACGCGCGAGCAGATCCGAGAGATGAACCCCAACTACTCCGAGTTCAAGTTCCCTCAGATCAAGGCCCACCCCTGGTCAAGGGTAAGCCCGTTGTCTGTTAGAAAAGCTTGCGGTTCATCTTTTGTGCTCACACATTAACTCTCTCTCTCTCTCTCTTTTCTCTTTGGGTCTCTCTCTCTCTTTCTCTCCCCCTCCCTCCCTCCTTCCCCCCCCTCTCCCTCTCTCTCTTTCTTTCTCCTTCTCCCTCTCTCGTTCTACTTCTTTTTTCTTACCCTCTGTTGTCTCCGTCTGCCTTACTTTTTCCCTGACCTAAATGACTAAATGACTCTCTTGTGGCTCTTGTGTCTATGTGCTACTGTTTGCTCGGTCAAATCAATCCGTCAATCATTGGATTTTATGCATCCCCTTAGGTTTGTGTTCTGGTAAGATAAGGTAAGATAAGACTTTACTTTATTGTCCCAGTGGGAATTTTTTGTGGGATGTACACAGGGACGCCAAATCTCCGGTTTTTCCGGCTTTCTCGGGTGGGGG